ATAAACGTTCATCATAATCGCTTTACGCATCAAGAGATTTCCTTTTCTGAATGGAACCGAAACCCAGACCCTGTGTGGCGCATCTCGGACCCACTGAATTCAATTCTGATCCCCTTACCTATACCTTCACCCTGCAAAGATCATGAACCTCACCGAGCGTTTTTAGAAAATCGGCCCACCTCGACAAGTGCCGTCTTCGTATCGGAACGCATTGTCCGCGCATTGGCAGGAGTGATGCCCTCGTTGACCTCGATCGGTGCAGATCTCATTCGTACCGCAGCGTGGTTTCTGCAAGAACACATCATGATGGAGCCATGACCATAGTTATGCAAAAAACGTACTTTTGGATCACAGGAATCATGTGAGAAAGAACTTGTGAACTCGGTCACCGTCAATCTCTCAATGGGTTTGCGACAAACCCGCCCTGGGTAATGGGTTGCGTTTGGTGATGCATCAACGTAGCCGTTACGACATGAGCACACGTACCCTTCCTGGAAAGTCAAAAATGTCACCTGCTAGTTGATTGACCTTTACTATACCACCACCTGACCTTGGCGTCTTCGCAAAGCGCGAATTCGGAGCAGTCGTTAAGACCCTTGATGGAGCACTCATTAATTGCTTCGATACATCGTCGACCTGAAATCCTTAATGTGCTACTGTAGGTATGTTTTGACCTCTCAGAAGACTCACCAGGCAGTCGGTTGAAAGCAGCCGAGATGTCAGCGAATCCTGGACGGCACTGGCAGGTGAACGAATCGTCGGTGTCGACACAAATCGCGTTCTCGTCGCAGTCAACGCGGTATTTTTCCCTGAAAAAGGTGATGGATCCATGATCGGGTAGTTTTATAAGGAGCTCTCGTACTTGTTGGAGCATTCGTTGATGCGCGCTTTGCAAAGACGACCAGGTTGTCCTGCTGGAGAAACGTCGGCAAATCCTGACCGACACTGACAGGTGTAGCCCTCTGCCTGGAAAGGTTGCGTATGGTTGGGTGGACAGCACAAGAGACCTGAAGCACCTACCAGGTCGATGCATTCGGCGTTTTGACCACAGGTGTTCAGGCGTTGATGCTCGCATTCATTGATGGCCAGACATCGACCGTCCGGCAGGCGAGAATAGCCAGAAGCACAGCGGCATTTGTAGGTACCATGCACGAACACACAAACCTTAAACGTGAACGTTTGAAGAGAACATGACCTTTGCAAACCATTGTATAGAGCTGATTAGCATTCAAATGACCCCACAATTCTGAGCAGAATCCAAAGCGCGGCGCACCGTAAACGTATCAGTTGGTTCACAGCCCTTTCTGTTTCACATTACAGATAACATTGATTGATTGATAATTGATTTTGATGAACAAATAAACAAATATTGCAAGTAAAAACGCTGTAGTGTGCACTAATATCCTACTATGCTAGTAAGGAGTAGTTGTATGTCACGGCGATGTAACATTGGTCGTTTCGCCCTGAATTTCATATG